GTGTGTGTGTGTGTGTGTGTGTGTGTGTGTGTGTGTGTGTGTGTGGGTGTGGGTGTGGGTGTGGATGTGTGTGTGTGTGAGTGTGTTCGACAAAGTATTACTGAATCATTGCATGCCAGAGAAGGAAACACATTCCTTGTTTTCTGGAACATGATGTGTACGGAATGCAGTATGTCGAAATAAACATCTTTTGAAAAATGCCGATAATGTTACGGTGAAGCATTTGTATATTCAGACCTGCTGAACTTTGCCCATATCATCATCAGCAAATTATTAAATTACAAAGCCCAGAAACAATTTTTCAGGAGAGAAAAAGCGAAACTCTAATAACAAAAACAAAAACAACAACAACAACAACAACAACGTATTAAAACCTGCGGAACTTGGCCTCTTTGTCGGCAAACAATTCAACTACTAAGCCGAGAAATACAAGTTTTCAGGAAAGAGGAAAAAAACAAAGAAACCAACCATCCCCCCCCCCCCCCCAAAAAAAATAAAAAATAAAATTACCCCTCCCCCAAAAAAATCCACCAAAAAACCCCAAACAAAACAAAACAAAACAGAACAAACACAACAACCAAAACCAAAAAAAAAAAGAATAAAAAGAAAACCCAAGAAAAACAACAAAACAACAAAAACTGTTTCATTCTTTTAACCACTTCACTGCCAGACCCGAGAATTGAGCTATGGAGCAGGTCAAGGAGTAACACCGCATTCCTGCATTTCATAAATCCCAGCTAACTCGACACAAGGTTTTCAATGAAGGCTATTTTTCTCTTTGACATAAGTAAATAAATAGTTTTGTAACGTCGTTGTCCCCTCTCAGCCGTCAACACTAAAACTAAAGGACATAAAGAGTACCTATCTACGTTGCATTTTCTTCTGCTTTATAATTGTTTTTCAATATTGCATTTAGAATTTGAACGTCGACAGAATTTCTATTGGGCAAATGCAACCGAAAAGCTACCTTAAATTAGAAAACGGCAATAATATATATATATATATGATATATACTACACACATA